TTTGTCAAAGTGAAAAAATATAAATGTAAAAATTGAATTAATTTCTAAAATTTTTATTTGCAACAATTGTTTAGATACAGTATTTAAAAGTAAAATAAATATTTCTCCATTTATCCACGTTATGAATGTAATATTCTATGTGCAACATTAATATAAAAACTTTCATTGTTTTTTGATTTTTAAATGTTTTGAATATGATTTGATGATATCATTAACCAATTTTGATATTACAAATTCTGGTAGTTTAACTATTAGTTGATGAATGACCATTTTCAATCATAATAGACTTTTCATTACACACAGGTTTTAAGAAGGAATTAAATACTCAATTTTATGCATATTTTTAATTGTATACTACATATAGTATATACCTGTATGATCACATAAATTAATAAATAAGTAAATACATAAATACAACAACGGATATGTACTGTTAGATCAAAATAGCTCTGTATTATTCCATTTCAAAATTACAATTACCGAAACTATTGTTTCAAAACTTTGATTGCAAATTTAATAAATATTTTTTTATTCAAAATTAGTATTTATTAGCATTATAATAAAGTATAGCTTATGTAGAATATAATATAAAACATGTACTTACCAATTTTGTCTGTAACATTTCAGAAAAGTTTATACTAAAACGTGAAATTTAATTGCCAGTGTTAAAACTTACATTATGTCATACAAAACTGACATATTAAAACAACTTCTTGTATACCATTATTTGCAAATATTAATGGCATTTCTCATGGTTGACATATTCGCGACCAGCGTTTGTTTCAGTAGCAATCTTCATAGTTATAATATTTTATTAAATGCAACAATTCATTTTTATAAAATGCGAATAAAATTCAAGAAAAGGATCTCATCAATTTTCTTGACATTGCACCATGCGTTACGAGATACGGAATAAAAACAGGTGTAAAAATAATTTAATTTTCTTTAGACAAGATGCAAAATATTGAACGTCATAAATATGTGACGCTGGTCACGAAGGTATTAACAAAAAGAAGATCAGAGAATTCTTCGAATTTGAACTCTCCTATACCTTTTTGTAGGTACATAATGCTTAAAATACGTCTGAAATATTTATTTAGTAAAAACATAGTAATAATTACTATACAACGACGAACATGATTCAAACGTATTATAATTCTTACTTTTACACCAGTTCTACCGAATTCCATTAAGACACCTGGTTGATAATCATCACAACGATACACTGGTTCCCTACAAGTTATATCTCTTCCAAATATCGTTCCGATGGTAGATTCCAAAAATTTATGTACGTAATTATTCATTACAATTTTGATGAATGATTGCACTATTCTAAATTTTGGATGCTCATAAAAATAAGAAAGCTTCTTACATTTGATATAAATCTAAATATTTATTTTAATTGAGATTATTAAATGAATTTGAATTAGTGGATATTCACTACTTTCACGTTAATCAGTAATTTGTTTGAAGCTTTCTCATTTGAAGTTACCTTTTTCCGTTATTTCTTTATTTTTCCGAATTATGAATTTTAATTCATTTTAAAATAAATTTATTTTAATTTAAAATAGAAACAATAAAAATTAAAGAAATACGACAATTTCTTCGAAGTCTTTTTACTTCTTTCCTTTATGTTTACAGAAATCATAAACAAATATGTTTGTATAGTATTTATTTATTAAATATAAATATTAAATATTAATTGATATAATATATATAAGTAGACATATGTTGCATTTTTTTGTATAATTAACACATATTTAAGTAGTTATCGTTTTCAGTTAAACACTTATAATTTGTTAGTTCAATTATTGTAATGTTTTACAATGATATAGTTTAAAATATACATTTTTTATCATATATATACTCTTAGTGTTCATTTTTATTGCAAAGTCACTATGTATTAACCGTTTCGTTTTGAAGAATATATACATCATACTCAAAGAATTGTCGTTTGCGTAAGAAAAGTGTATTCCGATAACTGAAAAGTTATGTTCTTGATAACATTGCGTGCAATATTTTACGTATTCGGCAACATTTGTTAACTACGCGCTTTGTAGGGAAAAGTTGCACAAAACCGGATCCCACTGTTTTTTATAAGATAAGGGCTACAAAATGTAGCCAAAACGTCATAAAATTAAATATCATCACATTCGGGTGGTCCTCATGACATTATCAAATGAGTCACAGGATAGAAATCATTATAGTGTTTTATACAGACGAAGTTAAAAATTTCATGTTGAAAAGTTTCGGTACTTTTGAAGTAGTTGGTTTGTGGGTGTTTTTTTATATATTGGCATTGAAAAATCCATTCAGAAAAATACTATTTATATTCTATAGTCATCACAAAGTATTTTACCGCTTTATTCATCTTCTTATCACATACCGAAGTAGAAATATTTAATGCTCAGTAAATCAACTAAGGGTCAAAATTTCAGTAAAAATCGGCTACTTGGGTATCGGGCAGGACCGGATTCCTAGTTTTGCCACGTATAACAACAAAAATGGTGATTTTTGTGTAGTTAATAATTAAAATTAATATTATATATAGTTAACATAAACTAAAATTGTTTATAAATACGGTAAAGTTCCTAAACACTTATATACATTTTTATATTAAGAATGATGACACTGTGGAACCAATTTGAACTTTTTTTGTGTTTTGCAATAACCACTAGGTAATTCTTATAGAGTTCCTTACCCTAAATACGAATCCGAAAACCAAATTGCTGGGTCATGTCCAGTTTTCGAAAAACGTGGGTTTTTGTAAAAACGGTCGAATTTTTGGAAGAAATAAGTGTTACGTGAAAACTAAAAACGATAGGCAGTTCAAATTTACCGTAAAAAATAAAGAGAAGATGCCCAAATATGCAGCTATAAAAATTTTGAATATTGGATGTCATTAAATGCTTGTAAATGATGATCAAAGTTTACAAAAGGGTAGATGCACGTACTTTGTACGCACTTCTGTTACATTTATATGAAACGTGCGTTGGCTAGCACGAATTTGCTATGCAGCATTGGATTTTATAGACATTTTTGAAGAGGAAACCCCCCACAGAAAGGGCGAAAACAGTTTTCCTTTCAGACAGATTAAGAAAATTTGCGTTAAGAGCGCGTGTACAGAGCTTTGGCGTTACGCGGCTACCGCTCGCCGTCTAGTTAGGGCCGTGGCTACGCGCTGTATAAACCTGGACCCCAATCATTTCTTCTATGCATATATAATGTGTTATTGTTTTATAAATTTTCATAATAATTATAAGCAAGCTTTTCAAAATTGTTCTGTTTTAAATAATTTGGTGTTTAATATGTGAATACACATATCCAAGTAATGCTATTATGATGATTAACACTAAAACTATCGAATCAGTCGAGATGGGCGATAGAAGTTTAATTATAATCAAGTTAATTATCTTTCGATTATTGATATCTGAAATGTTTTTAAAAATTAATTAGGTTTACTGGAATACTATAACAGATATCCTTTACGAGAATCACCTAGTAGCTATTACAAAACAAAAATCGTGTTGAACAGTGTAATTAGAATGATTAATTAAAATAATTTCACATTTGTTGAAATTGATGTAAACAGCTTTTTAACTATTTTTTAACTTATGCAAACAAAAATTGTATAATTATATTACATTTTATACGCCTTTTAAAAAGTATTCGGTCTTACCCATCCCTATAGGGCAAAACCGAATGTTTTCATACTTCCGATAAATCTTATTTTCTTATGAACAAAAGAATTTTTTTCCAAAAAAAATCATCATTTTCTTATTCCTTAAAGTCCAACGAAGAGATCTAGCGTCGTTCAATGCTTTTCTCGCCATCCAATTTTTTTCATATAAACAAAGATATATTACGGTCCCGGTTTTGCATCACTTTCTCCTATATATCGGTGTAGAATGACGAGTTCCGTTTATAGAGATCACATTTTACTGCAAATATATCCGAGCGAAAAGGTTGATTCTACAATACTACAGTGAAATTACTACTTAAAATAAATTATGTATATCAACAACTAAAATTGTCAATTTATATTACTTATAACACACTCGAATTATTAATAGCCTTCAGTTAAATAATTGTTAACTATCAATACATTGTTTAAAGAATATGTTCAACATTCAAATGTAAAATATTGTAATGATTTTCCTGTACAAGGTATAAATAATGTAGACTATAGTATAGAATTTGTTATGATTTATGTTTAAATATAAAATGTCTTAGACTTTCTACTTGGGAAAACTGTGAATAAAAGTTAAGGATAATACATTTATTCACACAGTTTTCAGTAAATGAAAAGTAAGAAAAATATGTTCATACGTAAAAAACCAAAAACTATTTATTAAATATAAAATACAATTTTTTATAAAATAAAAATCAATATAAATTTCTTAATGTCTAAAGTATTTTTTGGTTTAAATATAATCATTCAATCTTTATACAATAGCACATTTCATTTTAATGCTAATGTTTCCCACAGTTTGTCCTTTTTCATGATATTTACAATCATGTCTTGACTAACAGACCATAATCTTGTCGCAAGTGCAGAATCTAGTGCAGGAGTAGAGGGATCACAACGAAAACAGTTATTAAAATAAACTCCCGTTACTCCTTCTAATTCCGGAGCAGTTGCACAAAAAATTGATGTACTAGCTGCTTGTTGCTGTAAAGTTTGTACTGCATTAATTACAACAAAAATTTCGAATATTCATATTTCAAATAAATAGGTTCCTTACCAGCGATTTTGTGAATGGTCTCACTAACATAAATACAAATCGCAGCATCCAAGAATAGCGAGGCAATGAAGATGAAACCATATTACCAGGGTGGCAACTAAATACACCAACAGAAGGCCATCGCTTTGCTAATTCTTGTGCAAACAAAATATTACATAATTTAGAATTGTTGTATGCTCCCATAAACCAATATTTATATGCAGGAGGAGAAAGAGTCAGTTGATGAAAGTCTTCTACTGTCTGAAGTGAAGAGAACCTATTAAAACACATGCAATTTTTACACTGTTATTAAACACCTTTTACATTTATTTTTAATAAATTACTGTTATTAACTTAAATACATATCTTTAGATATTAATTTACAAAATAGAAAACTCTATAAAATATATAAACCTTTTTAATTTATTTATTGTTGCATAGAATTTCATTTGATTGAAAAAATGTTTTATGTACCTGTGAGATTCACTTGATACCACCACTACCCTAGAATTAGGGCAATTTTGAATCGGATGTTCCAACAGAAGGGTAAAATAAAAGTGAGAAAGATGATTTACTTGAAATGTTGTTTCATAACCATCTTTGGTAAGTTCATAGGGAATTGCAAAAACCCCAGCATTTAATATCAATATGTGAAGAGACCTAGAAATATAAGATATAGTATAAATTCTTATAATTAATTAATGCAAATTTACCTGTACTTCTGTTTAAATTTCTCAGCTGCTTCTTTAACACTATGTAATGAAGATAGGTCTAATTCTAATGTTTCACAATTAACATTCTCCCTTTCTTTTTGAATTTTCTGTATTGCTTCTTCACCTTTTTTTATATCCCTGCAAGCTAGAATCACTTTACAACCATGTAAAGCTAATGATCTAGCAGTTTCAAATCCTATAATGATATTGCATTAATATATTGTGTATATACTGAAGCAATCATTATTACAAATAATCTTTATTCTTACCTATGCCTGTATTTGCACCTGTAACAATGGCGACCTTATCCCTTAAATCTCGCCCATATAAAACAGCTAACGCATTGCTTCTGCCATCAAAACGCTGTCGTACAGGTTGTGATACCCCTCTATATTCCATAGCAAATGCTAATCGTGGATCAGTATACGTTGTTATTTGACTCACGTGATCAATGAATAAAACTTTACCATCATCTGCTACACGTTTCTCCCATCCAGTTGGTAATTCTTATTGATAAATGATATGAGTAGAATTTTACAATTTTAATTTAAATCTTTTAGTAGTTAAATAATATTCATTCATTTGAAAATATTTAAATATTTAAAAAATCACTATATATAATGCTTACATTGATATTGTTATGAAAATATATGAAAAATTATATACCAACTGTTTGACATACAATATTAATTGTTTATTTTAATATATCAATTCAGTGATATTGTACCTCCTTCAACGATTTTTTGACGACCAGTTCTAGGATGTGTCCATTGTGTGCCTTTCGTGTAATGACTGAAACAATATTGCAATATTTAAAATAACATTTTAAAAACTATAACATAAAAATTTTTCAACAACTATTAACTACTCCAATTTTATATGTAATTTGAAATGTTTTATTAAGAATATGTACTTATAATAAATTATAATTAAGTACATATGATTTACTTTACGTAATAGACATTTCCATCAGCAGTTGTCATCTCCTCCCAACCAGGAGGTAATTCATCTTCGCTGTCAGACTCGTTTAAAATGCCTACCATTTTTTAAAATTATTGTTAAACGTGTTTATGTTAGTTTACATAGAATTATTATGTCACTGTTTAGTATTTATAAGTTATTTATATATTTAGTACACCTGATGACGTTTACACATACATTATCAACGTCAAACTTGAAGTATAGTAATACCACAGATAAGATATAATAATAAATTTGATATTAAATGTATTTGTGAGTTCCGATTTTCTGAAATATTAATGCTCTTTTACCATTGCAGTACCATCCGTAATGTTATCAACAGAGTATAGAAATCATGGGTTTAAAACACGATAGATGTTTCATGTAATGTAACTTTTTTACTTTAACCTATTTGCATCATTAACGCCATATATGTACTCAATTTTCCTAACCATTATCATCAGAGCGCACATAAGCGCGTATTCACGTTACGAATAAATAGTGATAATTGCGAACAGATTAAATTATTTGTCAAGGTAAAGTAATGCAAACTATTAGAAAAAATGTCTGTACATTGAATTTTTTCCTTTATTTATATACTTTACAAATTACTTATTGACATAGTGTTAAATTATAACATTAAAATTGCAATTTAAAATTATTTTAGAAATATATCTTATAAATTTCATTGTAAAACCAAATTAGAGGTATTTAGATTTTGCAACAGAAATGTGACGATATAGATACATTCTTCATTTTATCGTACGATGCAAATGGGTTAATATAAATAAAGGTATTTATTATTAAAATTATACCTATATATTGTTAAAATTATGTTCTTAAAGCAAACAAATTGGACGACTATAAATGTTCAATGTGTATTATACAAATGTAAAAATTAAAACATTTAAATGCATGCTTAGATTTCATTTTGAATGAAGTTATCTTCGAGCCGCACCCGCAGTTCGTGTACAATCGATAGCGAACTTCACATGTATCACATGGATCATGGCAGCAGCAGCAATTGATATAATGTTGCAAAGCAATGAGTTTCAGTCAAAAAAGAAAGAGGATGCAAAGAATAAGGATAATTTGTGGTATGTTTATAAAATTTACGTTCAAAAACATTTTGATATAAAATGTGTACACATATACATATATATACATATACAGTATCTTAGCATATACTTTTTTTTATGTGTCATACAGCACAAACGAAAGAATCTGTCAGTGTTAAGATCATGCATAGAATTTTTAATTGCTGTATATTATTACGGTGTATAATGTTTGCAGGTCTTCTATCTTAGCTGAAGTACAAAACAGTGGGAACAATAAATTACCATCAAATAAGAACATTCTTGTTTTAGGTAAACTTGAATTTTCGTAATTAATACACAAAATTTTATACACATGTAATATGTGCATAAAAAATATGATTGTTTCAATTATTATACATATTCTTGTTTTATATGTAAAAAATTACACTTTATAATATGTACTATACGAATATATATATATATATATTCTTCTACAGGTGATAATGAAAGTGGAAAGACAACACTTATTGCTAAATTACAAGGTGTAGAGGATCCAAAAAAGGGTTCTGGTCTAGAGTTTGCGTATATTGACGTTAGGGATGATTATAGAGATGGTAATAATAACTTAATGCCAGTCATATTTTTCTTTAATTTAAAAGCTTAACAATTAAAAACTTTTTTGTAGATCAAACAAGGTTATCTGTATGGATATTGGATGGAGATCCTGGGCATGCTAATCTTTTAAGATTTGCATTAAATGGAGAAAGATTTCCACATACACTTGTTATGTTAGTAGCTGCAATGACAACACCATGGGACATGCTAGATCAACTTCAGTCTTGGGCTGCACTGTTAGGAGATCATATTGATAGATTACCTTTGGATAATGATACTAGACAAAAATGCAGGCAACTCAGTATGTAAATTATTTAATTTTATATTTTCATGCAGATTTTCTTATCATTAAATGTAACATGACCAATCAAATAACTGGTTTTAAAATTTGTTTTAAAATTCTACATTTTCTTCCATCTATTTAACTTTATATCAATTCTTATATTATCCAATTACTCAGTTTTAAAATCTTTTTCTTTCCTTTTGTTTCTAATTCTACTAAGGAAAATTTATTGTCTAACTTGTTTATCTTTATTTTATAATCAATTATTTGACAGGTTACAGTTATGGTATACATAACAGTTATGTATAAAGTGCCAATATTGTTAGTGTTAAATAATTTTTGCATTTCAATGCTATAGTATACGTTGAATTAATAAAATAATATTTAAAAATTTCATAAAATATTTCTTCCGTGTTTAGATGTCAAAAAATGGCAAGATTATACAGAACCTGGAGATGAATTAGATCCTGGTAGCCCTCTACGACGTACCAGTCGCAATCTTGATGATGAAACAATTGATAATTTACCATTACCAGAAGGAGTACTCACAACAAATTTAGGCCTTGATGTTGTTGTTGTAATTACAAAAACTGATTACATGTCTACACTAGAAAAAGAACATGACTACAAGTAAGATTATAATATTTAAAATTTTTAAACTGCTGTAACTTACAAAAATATTTTCAAATTCATTAAATTATTAACATCTATTATTAATATTTGTATGTTTATAGAGATGAACATTTTGATTTCATGCAACAATGGATACGGCGATTTTGCTTGCAATATGGTGCAGGATTATTTTATACGTCAGCAAAAGAAGATAAAAACTGTGATTTATTGTACAAATATCTTACCCATAGGATTTATTCACTACCATTTAGAACTCCAGCTTTGGTAGTTGAGAAAGATGCAGTACTCATGTATGTATTATCGCTTACTTGAATCTTTATAAATATTTAACACACTTTTAACAATCAATTACTTATAGTCCAGCTGGCTGGGATAATATGAAAAAGATTAGCATTCTACATGAAAATTTGCAGTCAATGAAACCAGATGATTATTATAGAGATGTTATCGCACAGCCAACAACTAATAGAAGAGTGGGTATAGATAAAGTACTTGAGTTAATCTAAGGAAGTGTGTTTAAGAAAGAAAATATTAAGTTTACTGCAACATATTTTTGTGAAATAGTGTGTGGCTAGGGAAGTAGAAGTACAAGCGGAAGAGGAACAAGCTTTCTTAGCAAAACAGCAAGCAGAATTACTAGGTTTGAAAGATCCAACCCGTTCTCCGACACTCAGAAATCAGGCAAGCACTGGACCAGTCATTCAGGTTATACCATTTATAATTGGAGCATGCTTCTCATGTTACATGCAGTTAATTAATAACCATTCAGTATCGAATAATAATGTCTTTGTGGCTAATGTATACAATGTGTTCAGTTATCATACTTTCATCCTGTAACAAATAATGCTTATTTGCATTAAAATATATTCAACTCCAATATTTTTAGAACATTGAACATACATGTTTTGATTGTATTTATGTTCCAAGCGAATGTGGCTTTTTACATTTCAGATTTATAATCATGGCGACTCAATTTCGTGGTCAGCTTTTTCCCATATTATGTATAAAATCGTTGTATGTATTTATTTGTTTCCATACATGTCATTAATTCATCTCTATGTATCCGCATCATTTATTGTTTACATTCCCATAGGGTTTAGTTGATAGTTTCTAATTATATATTAAAAAAACTATAATTGTGTTATGATAAATTATATTTTATATTTCTAAAATTTATGATGTATACATACAATTACATGTAAAAGTGTTACATGCATTTTTATTAGACACAAAGCATATAGAAAATACATTTTCATACATGATTATTTTGTTCCATTAATAACATTGTAAATTTAAAGTGTTTGTTTCATTATTTGGTAATCCACCCTACAGTTGTTAAATGCTTTTCACAGTTAACACTTGAAAGCATGTTCTAATCAATGTGGTATGATCTGTCATGGATATGTGACAGAAAATATGAATTGGCAAATACTAAATATTTCTCGTGTAGGTGGCTTCACCAAATAAAAAATTGGACCCCAAAGCTAGTGGAACTACGCAGTCTGGAGAAGGCGTCTTAGCAAACTTTTTCAATTCACTGCTTCACAAGAAGATCGGATCACCTGGATCACCAGGTAGTGTAGGCACAAGTCCAATAAAAATTGGTAAATATAATCTATTTTAGTATATTAGGTTGTGTAATATAAAATGTTTGATTTCGCGGAAGAAAGGTAACTTTATTTGATGTTCTAAAAGACGGTTATTCAATCAATTTATTCAAAATATACTCTATTTTATTTGATACAGTTCTGTCAACGTGTTTTTAATGAATATATTCCTTTTTTGAAAAATTCAGAATGTTTAGAAAGACCGTTATGAGTTACTGTTTCCGTGAGTTACGCGGCTTATTTTGCAAAGAAACATCACCGAAATGAAATTTTGCAAATCAGCGCTGCACTATTCTTTCATTCACAGTATTGCCCCCAAATGTTTTATTTACGGTGTTTGCAGTATTATTTCTAAGTGTAAATTCATATAAGAAAATTACACTTATATTTACGGTATCTTTGTTTTCCAAAAATAATGCAAGAAATAGTTACTATGTATAATTCGGACAAACTTTTTTGCAAAAAGTTACTCTGATAATCGACAATTTCATATTACATGACCTAATATAATATGCTAATAGCACATATAATTTAAAGACTTTTAGTAATATATGTATTTATTTTCATTTTAGATTCTCCACCAGTAGAGAAAACAACTGTGTCTAATGATGCAGCAGTGGAATTAGACCGGCTCACTAAAACTAAGAAACTTTCCCCTCCTAATTTAAATTCATCGTCTGAATGTTAAAGAAAATTTAATTCCTTTGCGATTCATTTATTCAGTTATAAAGTATGTACGTGAGTGTTCTTATGACATTTCAGAGATAACTAAATTTGCTTGTATTTTATGTTGTTCATTTAATGATACTAAACATTGTTTTATATTCACTAAATGTATTTAATACTTATATTAATTCGTAATACTTACCAATTTATAATCGTACAGTATATATGGTTTTATTGGTGATTAGATTAGTATATTTTTGTTAAAAGTATTTATTATCTTTGATTATTTTCACAAATAACAATATATTTTTAATCAATAATCCATACTTACATAATGTGAAAAATATTTTGTAGGTACAGCACAGTAAAATACAGCACAAACTATTTTTTGTTACTTAAAGCATTAAGTTGCTTAAAATGTATAATACTTTTATCCTTAATAAATTTTTCCATCTTTTTAATGTCAGTTTCACTATTAAGTTTGTTATGATAAAAAACTAGTTCTCAGGAATGAGTAATAAAATGTTCACTATTATCAGTTCTAAGCAAATTCAATTTCAAATGGGTCGCAAAGGATTAAAATTCAATTAATCAAATCAGCTTAATTTGAGAAAAAATAGGTATAAAATAGAAGGAAAGATTACAACGATGTCTTACACAACTTATCGATAGCCTTATTTATTGTGTTTGACTAAATATAAATATTGATGCAGATTAACAATTAGAGAATTATTAAATTAATATTATTAGATATTTAATATAGTATTATGTTCTAATTATGCTTACACGCATGTCCCTATGTCCTTCTATAATAAATTATTTTAAGATCGCCTATCGAAGGTGAATTTTTTTCATATTCTTAAATTGAATACACAAAAATGCCTATTTATGTAAGAATATTTTCAATTATGTAAATTTGCTGATAAATCTCCAC